GTAAAAGACACAGAGCAGCTGACTGAATAAGAAAGCATGACTGATCCATATGTTGTTTCCAAGAAACCCACCTCACAACAAAAGATTCACATAACTTGAAAGTGAAGGGATGGAAAAAAATTTTCCAAGCAAACATAAAGCAATAAACAAAAAAAGCTAGGGTAGCAATACTCATATCTGATAAAGTAAATTTCAAAACGAAAGCCATACCTAGAGACAAAGAAGGCCACTACATTATATTGAAAGTATCTATCCAACAGGAAGATAAAACTTTGGTAAACATATATGCACCCAATTCAGGAGCACCAATATATATTAAAAATCTTTTGGAGGACTTCAAAGGAAAAATCAACAGCAATACAATCATAGCAGGGGACTTCAATACCCCATTGACACCACTGGATAGAGCCTCCAAAAAAAAATTAGCAAGGAAACAGAGACTCCAAATGGAGCACTAGACTAAATGGATTTAATAGGTATCTACAGAGAATTACACCCCAAAACTACAGAGTTCACATTCTTCTCAAGTGTACATGGAACATTCTCAAAGATAGACCACATGATAGGATACAAACTAAATCTCTACAAGTTCAAGAAAATTAAAATCATATCAAGCATCTTCTCGAATCACATTGGCATGAAACTAGAATTCAATTTCAACAAAAACATGCAAAGACATTTGAACACATGGAGGCGAAATAGCATGTTATTAAACAATGAATGGGTTACCATGTAGATCAAGGAAGAAATTAAAAACTTCCTGGAAACCAATGAAAATGAACACACAACAACACGAAATCTATGTGATGCAGCAAAAGCAGTTCTGAGAGGGAAGTTCATAGCACTACAGGCCTACATCAAGAAATAAGAAAAATTTCTCATTGACAGAGTAACCTCACAACTTAAAGAATTAGAAAGCAAACAAAAAGAAAACCCCAGAGCAAGTAGAATAAAGTAAATAGTAAAGATCAGAGCAAAATTAATGTCATGGGGACTGAAAAAACACAATTCAAAGGATCACTGAAACAAAGAGCCGGTTTTTCGAAAAGATAAACAAGTTGATGGACCCTTAGCTAGACTCACCAAGAAACAAAGAGAGAGAACCCAAATACACAAATTCAGAAATGAAAGAGAAGTAACAACCGACACCTCAGAAATACAAAAGATTGTTAACAGCTACTATGAACCACTATATGGCAACAAATTTGATAATCCAAGCGAAATGGACAAATTTCTAGAAACACACAGTATCCCAAAACTGGACTGGGAAGAGATAGAAACTTGAACAGATCAATAACAACTAAGGAAATTGAAGAGGTAATCAAGACTCTCTCAGCAAACAAAAGCACAGGCCCTGATGGCTTCATGGGGGAGTTTTACCAAACATTCAAAAAAGAACTAACACCCATTCTCCTCAAACTATTTCCAAAAATTTAAGAAGAAGGAAGACTTCCAAACTCGTTCTATGAGGCCAGCATAATTCTAATTCCAAAACCAGAAAAAGACACTACAAAGAAAGAAAACTACAGGCCAATATCCCTGATGAACATAGACGCCAAAATCCTGAACAAAATACTAGCAAATCGGATCCAGAAATACATCAAAAAAATTATTCACCATGACCAAGTGGGATTCATCCCAGGGATGCAAGGCTGGTACAATATTCACAAATCAATAAATGGGATACACCACATAAACAAAATAAAGAATAAAAACCACATGATCATATCAATAGATGCTGAAAAAGCATTCAACAAAATCCAGCATCCATTTGTGATAAAAACGCTCAGCAATGTGGGAATAGAGGGATCATATCTCGACATAATAAAGGCCATATATGAAAGACCTACAGCCAACATTATACTCAATGGACAGAAACTAAAAGCATTTCCCTTAAGAACAGGAACAAGACAGGGATGTCCACTTTCACCACTCTTATTTAACATAGTACTGGAAGTCTTAGCCACAGCAATCAGACATGAAGAAAAAATAAAAGGAATCCAAATTGGAAAGGAGAAAGTGAAACAGTCATTATTTGCAGATTACATGATATTACACATAGAAAACCCTAAAGACTCCATCAAAAATATACTAGAATTAATAAATGCATTTGGCAAAGTAGCAGGATACAAAATTAACGTCAAGAAATCGACAGCATTCTTATACACCAATGATGAACTCACAGAAAGAGAAACTGAAAAACAATCACATTTACCATCACAGCAAAAAAATTAATATACCTAGGAATAAACTTAACCAAAGAAGTAAAGAACCTATTTGCAGAAAACTACAGAACATTAAAAAAAAAAGAAATAGAGGGAGATATAAAAAAGTGGAAGCACATATCTTGGTTATGGATTGGAAGAATTAACATCATTAAAATGTCTATACTACCCAAAGCAATCTATAGATTCAATGCAATCCCCATCAAAATACCAACGACATATTTCACAGAACTAAAACAAATAGTTCAAAAGTTCATATGGAACCAAAAAAGTCCCCGAATAGCTACAGCAATTTTGAAAAAGAAGGACAAAGTAGGTGGGATCACAATACCAGATATCAGGTTATACTACAAAGTGACTGTAATCAAAACAGCCTGGTACTGGCACAAGAACAGGCATATAGACCAGTGGAACACAACTGAAAACCCAGAAATGGACCCAAGGCAATATGCTCAATTAATATTGACAAAGGTGGCAAGAGCATACAGTGGAGTCAAGACAGCCTCTTTAATAAATGGTGTTGAGAAAACTGGACAGCTACATGCAAAAAAATGAAACTAGACCATCAACTTACACCATACACAAGAATAAACTCAAAATAGATAAAGGACTTAAATGTGACCCGTGAATCCATAAATATTCTAGAAGAAAATGTAGGCATCAAAATTTTGGACATCATACGCAGCAGAATTTTCACTGATACATCACATAAGGCAATAGAGACAAAGGAAAAAATGAACACATGGAACTACATCAAACTCAAAAGCTTCAGAACAGCAAAAGAAACAACCATCAAAATGGAAAGGCAACCCACTGTATGGGAGAACATCATTGCCAATGATTCGTCAGATAAGGGGTTAATTTCCAAAATATATAGGATACTCATACAACTCAACAAAAGGAAGACAAAGAACCCAATTAAAAAATATGCAGAGAAGCTGAATAGACACCTCTCCAAACAGGACATACAAATGGCCAAGAGACATATGAAGAAATGCTCATCATCACTAATCATCAGAGAGATGCAAATTAAAACAGCAATGAGGTATCACCTCACACCTGTCAGAATGGTCGCCATCAACAAATCATCAAACAACAAGTGTAGGCGAGGGTGTGGAAAGAAGGGGACTCTAGTACACTGCTGGTGGGAATGCAGACTGGTGCAGTCACTATTGAAAATAATATGGTGTTACCTGAAACAATTAAAAATTGAACTTCCGCCCTGGCCAGTTTGGCTCAGCGGTTAGAGCGTCGGCCTGCGGTCCGGAGAGACCCGGGTTCGGTTCCCGCTAAGGGCACGTGCTCCGGTTGCAGTTTGTCCCCGGCCCTGGTTGGTCGTGCGGGTGGCAGCCACTCGATGTGTCCCTTCACGTCGATGTTTCTCTCTCTCTCTCTCTCCCTTCCTCTCTCTCCCTCCCACTCTATCTATACAAAAAATGGAAAAATATCCTCGGGTGAGGATAAAAAAATAAAAAATAAATAAAAATTGAACTTCCATTTGACCCAGTGATCCCACTTCTAGGAATATACCCTAAGAAGCCTGAAACACCAATCAGGAAGAATATATGTACCCCCATATTCATAGCAGCACTATTTACAATAGCTAAGATCTGGAAACAGCCCAAGGGTCCATCAGTAGACAAATGGATAAAAAAGTGGTACATATACATAATGGAGTACTATGCAGCTGTAAGAAAGAAAGGTATCTTATCCTTTGAGACGACATGGAGGGACCTGGAAAGTATTATCCTAAGTGAAACAAGCCAAGCAGAAAAAGACAAATACCACATGATCTCACTTATATACAGAATATAATGAACATAACAGCCTGAGGAATAGGGTAGACCCAGAAACATGGTAGTAGGGTACAGACTGACACCCTTCAGAAGAGGGGGTGGTGGGGGTGGGGAGAGATAAACCACAGAACTCATATGCATGTATGCATGACCAATGGACATGGACAACAAAGCCGGGGATGGAGCGGTGGGGATGGGGAGGAGGGCGCCAATGGGGTAAAAAAGGAGAAACATCTGTAACAAAAATAAAATTTAAAAAATAAATAAATTTTAAAAATTGAAATAAAAATGAAAAAAAAAAAGAAAATTGGGTTTTTCATAGGGATAAAAATTAGACTAAAATTGTTGTTACTGAAAGGCAATGTCCACTGCTCAATACACAGTGGGGCAAAAGCAGGTATATAACTGTTTTTATGCAAAATAATACAATAATTAAGAAATAATAATATAAGAAAAAACTCATTTCACATACTCACAACTGTAAACCTACTTTTGCCCCCTATGTATGTATGTGTGTGTGCATGTGTATATATGTGTGTGTGTATATATGTATATATGTGTATGTGTATATATATGTATGTATATATACTTTTTTTTTTTTTTTATCCTCACCCGAGGACATTTTTCCATTTTTTGTTCAGGTAGAGTGGGAGGGAGAGAAAGGAACAGAGAGAGAGAAACATCGATGTGAAAGGAACACATCGAGTGGCTGCCACCCGCACGACCAACCAGGGCCGGGGACAAACTGCAACCGAGGTACATGCCCTTAGCGGGAACCGAACCCGGGTCTCTCAGGACCGCAGGCCAACGGTCTAACAGCTGAGCCAAACCGGCCAGGGCTATATATACTTTTTTTAAGAAGAAGAAAAGGATCACCTTTCTAATCTGTAATATAAAGCAAGTTACATAAGCAAAATGAAGCCTCTTTTGTGTTTTTTTTTGTTTGTTTTTGGGGGGAAAGAAAGGCAGAAAAAGTTTAGGTACCAGCTGTGTGTCCGAAAACTGGTATCTATGTTTGGCAGCCTCACTGATGCTCCTGGCGGGACCCTGGAACGCATATAACAGCTCCGCTGCTCTCTGGATGCCCTGCGACTTCTGCACTGGAATGGCAGTGTCAGCGTAGGTAGCTAGTTACTAATACAGCTAGTTGTTAACATAAGGAAGAAAGGAAAAGGAAACTGTTATCAGAGAAATGCGTAGATGGTCTTTCTCCATTGCTAGTGGGAGTGGGGTCTTTACTATATCTCGAGAAAAAGAAATTTTGAGACTCATACAGAAGAATGAATGATTTATTTATTAGATGTGGAATTACATCTCTCTGTTTCCAAAGTCCCATTTCCCTTAATCCAGCCCTGGAAGACATGCAGTAGGGGATTCAGTAGAGCTACAAGAAAGCCAGTGTCCAAAGTTTCCATTCCATGATGGAGCTGGGTCCACTTTAGCATTAGGCTAGTTGTAGTTTGTTAGTTGACTGTGTGTGGGGTCCACGTGGCTGTGGGCCATGGGGGTGAATGCAGGAGTGAGAGCCCCACAAGCCAGGAGTCAAGTGCAAGCAAGCCAGAGAGCTGAGAGCCAAGGGTAAGAGAGTTAACTCCTGTTTTTAGGAGATTAAATGATCTCCTATCTTCCTGAGCTTGTAGCGGCCACACTTACTCTGGCCAATGACCGGTTCCAAGTGTGACTAACAGTCAAGTGCCTTCCCTATGTCCCCCAGACTTTACTGGGTATGCATCTAGTCTCCTCTTGTCCAGTCCCCCGCCTCAGGATCTGCAGGGGATAGACTAGGGGAGTGTCAACTGCAGCTTCCTGGCAAAGCTACACAAATGACATGACTATACTATTTGGTCTTCCCCTTGCTCTTTTTCTGTTAATTACTAACTGGGTTCATAACCATGGTATCAAAACTAAATCTTTTTTTCTTTATTGATTTTGGAGAGAGATAGAAACATCGATGAGAGAGAACATCGACTGGCCACCTCCTGCATGCCCCCCAATGGGGATCGGGCCCACAACCTAGACATGTGTCCTTACTGGGAATCAAACCAGTGACCTCTTGGTGCATGGGTTGATGCTCAACCGCTAAGCCACACAGGCCGGGCACAGAACTAAATCTTAATAAACTATGAAGATGAAGTAGGTAGCAGTACAACACTCCATCTAGTATAATGGTAACCAGACACACTCACACACTCCAGGGAACTGCCTGCTAGGAGATTTAATCCTGGTAAAGGATAGAAAAACCAGCCGTGGGCTGCTAAAGGCCTTGTACCAGAGGGAGGGGTGGAAATTACTCTGCTGGGCTCATGCTCAATGACAGTCAGGGTGACAAAACAGAGGGGCAGGGCCTAGCCTGGGAACAATCGAAAGGGTAATCAGATAGGATAAAGGGCATGAAACCTCAGCAAAATTTTCTGGGTGGAGGGCCCAACTCAGGACCAGGAAAAATTAGAAATTTGGGTTAGATCATTTGAATGGTTCTTTGTTCTTTACCCGAACCAAGAAGATCTATGGAGGATTAACAGGAGCCTAGGGGCAGCCCTCTAGAGCCTGCCCACCACTCAGGGGTGGAGAACATCTGAACCCTGGGCCTTAAAAGGCCCTCAAAATTAATACCAGCTAACATCACATGCCTCACCAAATTAGCCTTACCAAACTATAGCAAGCTAAAGTTTAAGCTGGTAATTTTGTAAGGCTGGTGAATTATGTTATAAACATCCAAATGGCCTTTGGCATTGAAAAGGTTCTCCACCCCTGCTCCTGAAGGGTGCATTAATTCCCCTTAACTCACAATAAAATCTTGCTGTCACATTTGAACTTCTCCAAGAGTGTGCCTTTGAAATTCCTTTCTCATGACACAGCAAAAGAATCCATTACTTTTGCCAACAAATGCAGCATTTTGCAACAGCAGATACACACACATGGCGCGTGCGAGCGCACACACACACACAGACACACACAGACACACAGGCTATGAGGAAGCTGCCACTGATCCAAAAGCTGGAGCAGAGACAGACACATCTGCCTCAGAGACCGCAACACCAAAGAACAAAGAGTCCTCTTCTAAACCTGGTCAGGACCTTGGGCTCATGTATGCCGATATATTAAAATATAAGCAATCACATTATGTTAAAGATAAACATAACTCTGTAGTTTTACTGGGGCTCTGAATATTAATTTTGTATCCTACTATTCTGCCAAATTCATTTGTGAGATCTAGGAGTTTTCTGGTGGAGTCTTTAGGGTTTTCTATGTACAATTTCATGCCATCTGCAAATGCCAGTTTTGCTTCCTCCTTTACGATTTGGATGCCTTTAATTTCTTCTTCTTGTCTGATTGCTTTCACTAGGATTTCTAGTACTATGTTGAATTAACAGTGGAGAAAGAAAACTTCCCCGTCTTGCTCCTAATCTTAAGGGAAATGCCTTTAGTTTCTGCCCAGTGAGTATCATGTTGGTTGTAGGTCTGTCGTATATGGCTTTCATTGTGTTGAAATATAATCCTTCTATTCCTACTTTGCTGAATTCTTATCATAAATGGGTGCTGTCTTTTATCAAATGCTTTTTCTGCATGTATTGATATGATCATGTGACTTGTATCACTTTCTTCATGTGATGTATCACATTTAGTGATTTGCAAATATTGTACCAACCTTGAATCCCTGTAATAAATCCCACTTGATCATGGTGTATAATATTTTTTATGTATTGCTGAATCCAGTTGGCTAACATTTTGTGAGGATTTTAGCATCTATGTTCATCAGGGATACTGGCCGATAATTTTCTTTCTTCATAGTGTCTTTATCTGGCTTTGAAATTAGAATAATAGTGGCCTTGTAAAAGAACTTGGATGTCTTCCCTCCTCTTCAAATTTTTTGGAATAGTTTGAGAAGGATAGGTGTTAGTTCAGGATAGGTGTTAGTTCTTCGTTGAATGTTTGGTACAATTCACCTATGAAGCCATCTGGTCCAGGGCTTTTGTTTGCTGGAATTACTTTGATTAATACTCCAATTTCATTAGTTGTAATTGGTCTATTCAGGTTTTCTGATTCTTTCTGGTTCAGTTTTGAAAGTCAATATATTTCTAGGAATTTACCCATCTCCCCAAGTTGTCCAATTTGTTTACATATAGTTGTTCATAGTATTTTCTTAAAATCCTTTGTATCTTTTGCCCTGGCCGGCTTGGCTCAGCAGTTAGAGCGTCGGCCTGTGGTCCAGAGAGACCCGGGTTCGGTTCCTGCTAAGGGCATGTATCTCAGTTGCAGTTTGTCCCCGGCCCTGGTTGGGTTGTGCAGGAGGCAGCCACTCAGTGTGTCCCGTTCACATCAATGTTTCTCTCTCTCTTTCTCTTCCTCTCTCCCTCTCACTCTACCTGAACAAAAAATGAAAAAAATGTCCTCGGATGAGGATTAAAAAAATCCTTTGAGTTTTTGTGATGTCAGTTGTTACTTCTCTTATTTCTGATTTTATTTATTTGGGTCCTCTCTCTTTTTCTCTTGATAAGTTTGGTTTTATCAACCTTGTTTATCTTTTCAAGGAACCAGCTCTTGGTTGCATTGATCTTTTGTATTTCTTTTTAAGTCTCTGGGTCATTTATATTTACTTAGATATTTATTATTGCCTTCATTCTACTTACTCTGGGCTTTTTTTGTTTTTGTCCCCTCCTTTTGTCCCCCTCCCCCCCCCCCCCCAATTCCTTTAGGTGTAGAGTTAGATTGTTTATTTGAGATTTTTCTTGCTTCTTGAGGAAGGCCTGTAATGCTATGTATGAACTTTCCTCTTAGATGGTTTTGCTGTGTCCCAAAGATTTTGGGTTGTGTTCATGTTCATTTGTTTCCAGGTAATTTTTGATCTCTTCATTGTTCTCATTGTTAGCCCATCCATTGTTTAACAACACGCTATTTAGCCTCCATGCGTTTGAATGATTTAGAACATACAATGGTGCAAACACAGTCTCTTCAATAAATGGTGTTGGGAAAATTGGACAGTAAATGCCAAAAAAAAACAAATACACCACCAGCTTACACAAGAATAAACTCAAAATGGATAAATGACTTAAATGAAAATCACAAAACCATAACAATTCAAGAAGAAAACATAGGCAGTAAAATCTCAGACATCTCTTACAGAGCAATCTCAGACATCTCTTGCCTGTATGTCTCCTAGGGCAAGGAAAATAAAGGAAAAAAATAAACAAATGGGACGACATCAAAATTAAATAGTTTCTGCACAGCAAAAGAAACCGTCAGCAAAATGAAAAGAAAACCAACTGTATGGGAGAACATATTCAGCAATGATACATTTGATAAGGGGTTAACTTCCATAATATATAAAGAAATTGAACAAGTCAACACCAGGAAGACAAATAATCCAATTACAGAAGGGCAAAGGGCCCTGGCCAGTGTGGCTTAGTTGGCTGAGCATCACCCCATGCATCATAAGGTCACCAGTTCAGTTCATGATCAGGAACATACAAAGGTAGGGGGGAATCCCCAGCTGGGAGGGAGGGTATGGGAGGCAAATGGTTGATGTTTGTCTTTCATATCAATGTTTCTCTCTCTCTCTCCCCTTTCACTCTTCCTCTCTAATGTCAATGAAAACATATTTCAAAAACAAAATGGGCAGAAGGACCTGAATAGACATTTCTTCAAAGAGGACATACAGATGGCCAATGAACACATGAAAAAATGCTCAACGGCACTAATCATTAGAGAGATGCAAATTAAAACCACAGTGAGATATCACCTCATAGCTGTCAGAATCACTATCACCAATAAATCAACAAACAACAAGTGCTGGAGAGGATGTGGAGAAAAGGGAACCCTTAGGTACTGTTGGTGGGAATGCAGGCTGATGCAACCACTGTGGAAAACAGTTTGTAGTTTCCTCAGAACATTAAAAATGTAACTGCCTTTTGATGCAGTGATCCCACTTCTGGGAATATATCCTAAGAATCCCGAAACACCTATTGAAAAGACTATATGCATCCGTATGTTCAGCATTATTTACTGTAGCTATGGTTTGGAAATAGCCCAACTGCCCATCAATAGATGAGTGGATAAAAGAGCTGTGGTACATATACACAATGAAGCCATTAAAAAAGAAGGAATTCTTACCTTTTGCGACAGCATGGAAGGACCTGGAGATT